AAATATATAAGCACAAGATATGTTCTAAGTACTTATCTTAAATCGAAGACTCAAATTATATTATCTGAGTTGTCTAAGTTCGCTCACTTGGCTTTAAAATCATTTTAGGGATTTACGAGCTGGTTTTGAAAATATTATTGTTTTTGAGGCATTCTAGAGTTCTCTAAAATATTTCTAAGTCTGAAACTAAAATCTGACTTAATCTAATCTGACTGAAATCTAAAATATATTTGGATCTTAAAACTATCTGGATTCTTAACTTTATATTTGAAATTTCAACTTTATCAGAAATATCTAGAATATATCTGAAATTTCTCGAACCGTCCGGCTACCCGGAAGATCTGACTGTACTGAATTCTCTCTGGACTGCCCAGACTGGTTTGACTGAACTGGACCGACGACTCACTCGGAGCCGGTCGATCATTGGCTTGGCTATGTGCAGCTCGGTTTGACCGTGGTCCGGGTTCAGGGCGGCAACTCGAGGCCGGCATGAACTCGACTGACATGGCTTAACCGATGCACGGTTTAGAGCGGTGCCACGGTCACTGATGCAGGGGCGTGCTTGGACCACGGCTAACTGAAACGGCGCATAAACGGTTGATCAGATGAACTCGGTGCACGGGCACGCACTCGGTAGTTCGGCTCCAACGGTCGGAAAGAGAGTCGAGCACGTGTGCGGGATGACGATACGCGTTACGAGTTAATGATACAACGTCTAAAAATTATTTAAACGACACTAGGGTTCGGGCGGTTAAACTCAGATTCGAAATAATACTCGATTATCGGAACCGGATAAATTTAGCGTTCTCAGATTCTAAAAAATTCTATCTCATTCTAAGAGAATATTTAAATCACTAATTTCTATGTGATATATACCGATTTATAATCAACAACTGCAGCTAAAATCATGTCCGACTAATATTCTAAAATATCGCAAAATGAGACTAACGTCTCGATTTTTAATCTATACAAACGGTGTCCAAAAATTACAAAATTTGAAACACACCATCCTCAACACATACATGGTCCATGGTCAAAATATCGAGTCAAAAGTCAACTCCTGACCCATTTATCTAGTAATCGCCTTAACCGGTCAAATACTTCAAAAATCCCGTTCGTCTATCAAACGAGCTCTAAATCTTCTCAAATTCGCACCTAAGCCTCAAGACATCGAATTGAATTTTTTAAAATTTATTTCATCATTTTATCACTTATATAATAAGAGATCGAAAAGTCGATCGGTCCTCGTAAAATTCCGATAAATTCGATTATCACTCAAATCCTCAAATTAATCATTTTATGACATCTCATTAAAGTTATCTAAGCCATTGGAGTTAGGTTCATGCTTTAATACCTCAAATGGGGCTCAAACCGAAAATCAAAAAGTCGAGAAGCTAAGGAAATGGACCGGCTCTTAGACGGGACCGATTTTGGAGCTGCAAGTCTCGGTTTGGAGCTGACCGAGACTGAAACTCGTCGGTAATAGAGCTGGCCTGACAGATCGGGGTGAAGCTCGCAGTTCAAGGCTTGGGTTTGTTGGAAAACGGGTCACCGGAGGAGAGAGCTGAGGTCGGTGACGCGACGACGAGCTTGGTAACGACTGGTCGTGGTGCTGGAAACCGCTGGCGCCTGGCAGTGGCGTGAAGAAGTTGCGAACCGCAGGAGATGGCGTGAAAGAAGCTCAGCTCGGTTATGGCGAGGTCGCCGGAAAACAAAACGTGAGAGAGAGAGAGGAGCTGCGACGGCGGCTTGAGCTTCTCGCTGGAAATGGACGGCGGGGTGCTGGGCTAGTTCTCCGGAGCTGGTCTAACCGGAGCTGCACAGGAGCTGCGATGGGACCAGAGTTAGGAGACGAACAGAGCTAAGCTCGCTGGAGCTGGGACAACGACGCTGAGGTCGCGAGCTTGCTGGACGTCGTACGGACGCGACTGGTTCACGACGGGGGTGGACAGAGCTCGCGAGGACGACGACGTGCTGAGGTGTGCTCGTCGGAAATGGAAGCTTGGACGACGGCGGGAGCTTCGCCAGCGTGAAGAATGGACGGCAGGAGCTCATAAGTGAGTTGTGGTCGCGATTTCCCTGCGGGATGAGCTCGGGAGGCATGAATGGCGGAGAGCTTGAGCTAGTAACAGAAGGAAGGGCTCGCCGGTCGTGGGTTTTGCCGAAAATTTGCCGGATTCCGAGCTGGTCGGATTTTTTGTGTGGAGGAGATGTGATTTGGGGAAGATGATGATGATAGTGGTGGGAGGTGGATGAAATGTGGGTATTTATATGAGGAGAGATAGCTAGGGTTTTGAAACATAATTGAGCTTCATTGTTGGGCTAGTAGAACTTTAAAATAGGGCCTTAGTCTTGGGCTTAAAATTGAATTTTGACTTGGCTAAATATTAGGTGTCTAGGTAAATTAAAATATAATGAGGCTTAGACTAAATTAATTTAGTCGGTCGACTTTACTAAAATAATTGGGCTCAGATTTAAAAATCGACTATAGGCTCGATTTTTAAAATGAACTTAAATAAAATCGAACATAGGCTCGATTAACTTAAATGGGTCCGCTAGAATAATTGTACTCGTTCGAAAGTGATTAGGCTCAAATAAATCAATTCGGGCTTTGATCTGCTTAAATAAAATTTACTATCATTCCAAGGCTCGGTTTTGAAAATAGAACCGATACTTGGGCTAAATAAATCCGATTTTTAATAAATTCTCCATGCCTTAGCCTTTAATAATAATTATTCAATTTAATGCAAATAATAATAAGAACTACATCAAATTAGGAAACTTAATATTTATGGAAATAAAGTCGAGCTCCATAAATAGTAAATAATATTCGGGGCGTTACACGTTAAGTAGCCGTTGGAAACAAATTAATGATATAATATTTGTTAGTTAATCATTCATGATTATAAAATTCTAATTAATCATATATATTACCTTAAAAATTCTTCGAGTCACTATGCAAACAATTTAATGAATATAAATAACAAAGCAAATAAAATGCCACTCCACACTATTCGATAAATCTTTGGATGGGTACAAGAATAAGCAGTTATAAATTTCACACCACATTACTGGGTAAACCATTTTGTGGGTGTTAAGTATAAATAATAATATTATTTATTATAATTTGAAGTTATTTTTCATAATTAGTAGTAATTCATAAGCATATTTAATAATATTATCTTACCACATATTATTGACAATGGCATAGCCTTAATGGTAATGTGAAAATAGTGTCATATTTAGTATATTCATACCACATATCATTGACTGTGGCAGAGCCTAACTTGTCAAGAATAATGATAATATGTATATTAGTATATTCATACCACATATCCTTGATTGTGGCAGAGCTTAACTTGTCAAGAATAATTGTAATATGTATATTAGTAAAATATACTAATTTATGTAATACATATACATATATTATTATTATTATTATTATTATATTCCTACCTTTCTGACCAGGTAGAGCGCTCGTGCTGATAACGTGTTATAAAATACGAAGAAGATAAAGAACACAATATAAAAACCACATATAAGTTATAATATGCTTTTCTTTCTTTCTTTCTTTCTTCCTTTTCTTGCGCACATACAATGCACTATTTTTCTTGCCTTTATAGGCAAAATTCCATGCATTATAGGTCATTTCCATGCACACATTTTTATACATTATGATAAAATAATGTAATAATGTTACTTTTCTTGCGTACATACAATGCACTACTTCTCTTGCCTTTTATAGGTAAAATTCCATCAACACTGCTACAGCTCCCGTCTATTTCCCCGCCTGAAGTTAAACTCCCTGATGTGGCAGTCCAAATCATCAATTTGTTTCCTTATTATTGGGGCCAAAAAAGAGAAAGCGAATTTTATTAAAATTGTGTTAAAATTTAAAAAACAACTCTTATTCAAAGGTTAAAATTAAAAAACAACTCTAACCTACTACCACCACCGTAAACCACTTCTCCAACGCTACAGAAACTATCTTCAAGCCACAATTTTCATAGCTTTTTTTAACTGTGCTATCAAGGTATGTTTATGGTATTTGTAGTTTGATAAGGGAGTGCGTTCGACAAAAAATCCAGTGAAAAACGGGGACTATGAACGGAGAACGGGAAATTCGGCAGACCAAAAAATATCTCGAAATAAGAACAAAAATAAGAGAAGACATACATCCCTAGGGCAAGAAAATTTGGGAGAAAACGTGATATATGAGGCTGGAAAATCACGGAGTTCAGTCCACAAAAAAAAAA